GCATGTTCGATCATAAGTTTGATTTGATGTATGCTAAGCGTGTATTTGTCCACTGGTATGTCAGTGAAGGTATGCTAATGATATATCAGTTTCTCACAGGATCGATGGAATATGACCTTTCTATAATCATTACTTACTTCTACTACTAATGCTGCTTGCTTATGGATCTGTAATAATAGCCTTGCCTCCTGATCGATATGGAATAATGCATGCAAGCGTAGGATCTATACGGTGCTGATGTTTGCAGGATCAATACGATTGATTGAATGTACTGTCACCGTTGCTGTCTATCACCACGTACTAGTACATTATAGTGGAATCAATAAGTTTACGAGCAGCTTTTATGTTGACGAGAGAGCGCATAACAGAATACTTGGGATGATGCACAATGGACGTTTATCTGATATACATAGGAGAATTCGATGACGATGTGCGTGTGCGTGCATGTATGGGTGGGGTTTAGTTAGGGGAGGGAAGTGAACGTACAATAGAATGTTCATGTGACATGTAGGAGTGATGTTTGAGGGAGTTGGTAGAAAAAGATTGCGCTTACAGGATGTGTGAACTACATAATAGAGACTTGGAAAAATGCGTATAAGATGTCGGATATTTAGCCAAGAGAGTGATGTCTATCGAAATTATCTATCATCTTGTTTGAACATTGAAACTGATTGTTGTCTATTCAACTATCTAAGTGGAGGAAGTATGATGACTTCCACATGCTAAGGTATCGCAGCGGACATTATATAGTAATAGATGCGATTATACATACCATATTATAACAGTAAAAAAATGTCAGAGGCACAGCCACGAGGGAACGTCTTTGACTTTCAATAATATATGGACACAGCATGAACGATTAAAAGACGTGTTCAGTTATATTAATATTTAATACTGATCATAAAGAAATGTAGACGTATTAGTATTCCAATGTTGCTATTACGATTACTATTATTAGGTAAATTAGCCTTGCGAAGACTGAAGTGTTAGATCTGTGGAATAGAGAATAGTGGAATGAAATACTCTTCCCAACATTAGCGTGACACTTTATTACAGGGGTTAAGATACTCCACCTTCAAATAAAGAACTAAGAGAATACAAGGCAAGGTTTAAGGTTATGCAATATGAATTTCAAATAACCGAGGGCCTAACAAAATTTTAAGTAATGATTAAATAAACGATAATATTAATTTCACGTTTTATTATCAGTGGAAATTTAAAGCAATTGAACTGATGTCCTGCATCTATCAATGCGTTGTTGACATTGGCCTGTAATAATCTTTAGAGCTAGACGTGGCATAGATGTAATTCATTTATACGAACTTGCTTTTCTTGACAACCCGAGGAACTTTCGTATATTAATGCTACGAGATCTCCACAATATTGTGAAACAATATGCACACATATATTAATATATTATCCTTAAATGCACGCTCTCAACTTTTCAGTCCCGAGGGTGTGCATTTAGGGAGAGTTGACTGTATTTTGGTTTGGCAGGGCAAAAACCTTTATCAATTGACTGCGAGAAAGACCTTTCCATTCTCAAAAATAACGTTGCTTTCCTGGCATTGTGCAAAGGTGCCTTTCACTAAAAGTAAATAAAAAAGGAAAAGCTGATTCTCGCCTTGCCATTATGCTAGACGATTCGAAAACTGTGCTTTATTGCTTGCAATGAACAATCCTCTATTTATCTGTTTTTTGTCTTAGCTCACTTTTCAATTTATTTTTTTGTACTTTTAGGTGAAGCGAATGGTTGAAAGTGACGTCACATGTTTTTGTTGCAGTATGAAATATAGTTTAAGGCATCTCGTGAATAAGAGCCCCCTTATATTATGAAGGTGCGGTACATACTTTTAAACAAAAAATTATTGTCTTGTATACCAACTTAAACCGATTGAGCCGCGAAAACATATTTTTGTTGCTAGTGTTGCCAGTTATTGATTTGTTACTTCCTGAGCTGACAACCATTCCAGAAACTACTGTATCTTGACTAAATCATTTAGATGTCTAATGTTCCTGAACTATAACCAAGTTTATATTGGCCTCTGTCAACTATTTAATATTAGTGATTTCCCCCTCACGCCGTCTTCTGTCAACTCGTGAAATCTTAACGCGAACATAATCGCCTCTCTTAAGCGTGACTTTTTCTTAGTGTTACATTTGTTCTCTGGACCATCTCTAAATAGATTATAATGAACGATATAACTGTTTATCTCGATAATATTATCCATCATAGCAGAATATTAGTTTAAGCGACTAATAAATTTGTGAAGTGATATAATCGAGTATGTTGATCATCACGTACAACAATTCCGCGGAATATAACGTAAAATAACCTTTGATTGCAATCAATCTCATACTCCTATTCATGGAAGCAGTAAGCCTTAGTTGACGGTGTGTGAATACTTCCAGGATATATTCAACGATTGGAAGAAAGTAATACAGTCAAAATCATAACAAACAGTCGTGAGAGTATGCATAAAAGTCGTTTTTTGTTTTAATGAAATTATATGCTGTTTGTTATATATAATGGGCCGGAGAAAGGGCAAAAGCTCTAAATCAGGCTATCAAGTAAAATTTTAGTAGAAATTTGCGCTATGTATAGCGATAGTCCCCCCTCTCCCTACCAAACAAATGACATCCTATTTAATATACTATATATGACACCCAATAATCAAACAGTTCCCAGAGTGAAAATCAATGTCCTTGCCGAGATCCACCAAAAAAAAAGTTACTGCTTTGAGGGAGTCCATTTTCTGAGTCTGATCGCGTGAGTCCTGATGAATCCGCCGGCATCAGTCGGCGTCAATCCTCCTTGCACATCCATAGAACTCTCTACTTCATTGTACAACTTGGCACCATCTCCAACTGCCTTCCTTCCCTCAACCGTTACACTACCCTTGTATAGCTTCAGATGTACTTCACCATTAACATTCCTTTGCGTAAATTCTAGGGAGTGCAACAAGAACTCTCTTTCCGGTGAGAAATACAACCCATTGTATAATAATCTACCAAATGGTATGCTGATGTTTACATCCTTCAGATGGCGTACTTGACCATCTATAGTAAGCCCTTCGAGATCTAGGTGGGCTGCACGGAGAATGGTACCTCCAGGTGTTTCGTAACATCCACGCGATTTAAGGCCAATAAATCGCGATTCCACAATATCCACGCGACCAATGCCATTACGACGACCGAGCGTGTTTAGGTAGACGAACAGATCGAGTGGATCGGTTATTATGGTGCCGTCATTCTTGTTTGCTATTCGAGTTGGTTTTCCCTTTTCGAAAGTTATTATCTGTTTGTAGAGGTATTAAGATGAGACTATGAGTAATTGCTGGGTGACATTACAACTTGTGAGCATGCCGTGTCGTTACAACAAAAATATGAATACAGTATCCCACATCCTTATTACTTACAATGCGCTCAGGAGTATCAGGAGCGTCTTCGGGAGCGACAGTGAGTTTCCACATATCCTTGTAAGGAGTCTTTCCAGGGTCTTCCAAGATACCAGCTTCGTAAGAAATATGGAACAAGTTCTATAATGAAATTATAAAATGATCGAGTTAGTGCTGGCATGCATTACAATTGGTATTCTCATTCTACGTGATTGTATACACAGTCTTACTTCTTACCTCATCGGTGGACCAAGGTTTAGCCACTGTTTGCACGACGGGAATACCTTTTTCAGTCGCATAAGCAATAAGACTTTGACGTCCGGGGAAGCGTTCATAAAATTCAGGCATACGCCAGGGCGCGATGACTTTGATGTCTGGTTTTAAAGCATAATATGCCAATTCAAAGCGAACTTGATCATTGCCTTTTCCAGTGCACCCGTGAGAGACAAATTGGCAGTCTTCCTTGATCGCAATGTCAATCTATTGATCGAATAAATAAATTCTTTAGTAAGGGTAGTAGTATTTTTAAGAGTAAAGGTTGTGTAAGACGAATTTAAACCAAGCAAGCACCAGGAAACTGTAAACTCAACATACTTGGCTTCTTGCGATAACTGGTCTTGCAAGCGACGTACCCAAGAGATAGATGTTCTAATGAGAAATTATTTGTTTCACGTTAGACATATACGCTGTCAAGACATTTTTGGTAAGACATTTTGTTTATAGATACCTCATAAATGGCATTTGCTTGAATAGCTGGATAAATCAACTCCTCGACGAAAGCGCGTCGCAGGTCCTAGAATTTTAAAATGATAGAAAAATATTTAATAAAAATACTTGTTACTTTTCAGCTCGCTTAAATAAATTTGGTCTCTTACGTACTTCGACGAAAACTTTCTTTGCTCCTATGCTTAGGGCTTTGGCCGTCGCAGCTTCGAAATCTTCTTCTTGCCCAATATTTGCCATATACGCAAGGACTTCATATCCTTGCTCAATCAACCATACAAGAATGCAGGATGTATCAAGACCGCCAGAGTAAGCTAATAGAACACGACCTTTCGACATTGCTGGAGAGTTAATACAGTTTAATGGGCAAAAGCGAGGTGTATTTATATGAATGGTTTAGATTGTGATGATCAACGATCAAACCTTGAGAGCATCGTTGATTATCAACCATCAAACGGCCAATGCATTAAACAATGTGTCAACAATAAACAATTATCTTCAGGCGATAACGTCTAAGCAAATAATAGAATAGATCCATAATTGGATCTATAATGAGATTGATAGATTTCTTTGGTCTCTACGACTGCGGTAAATTAGATCTGGATCTTTTTTCGGCACTTCTACGCTTTATGACGAATAATCTTGTGAATCATGTTTCTCACACATCTGAGACGACATACTGGAACAAATTAAAAGGCGCATCTTTCACAGATGATCAATTTAGATTATCACATATTATCGGTTTATACAGTATGTATGTCACACATCAGCCCAACATTCTCGTTTGACAACATATTGGTCGAATGACAAACATTAAGCCTACAGTAAGTATGCTGAATATACTAATGATTTAATTACATGGAGAATGTAGCATACGCATTAATACCATCCACCCATACTCGGGTTTACCCTTCTTACCCTTTTTCCATTCCTCCTCTTAATCTTCCTAATATACCATTCCTTTACTGAAACTAATCGAGCCCACCTATTCTGAGCGTCGAGAAAGAGATTCATGAATTCCTCGGCGTTGTAAAGGACGCCTGATCTGTGTGGTGGGATAATGTACATTCCGTTTGAGAGGTCATCTTTAGAAACCCCAGAACTCAGAATCACCTTATTACACACTCCCGGGGTATTTAATGGATACGCTTTACACTCGAAATGAGGAGGAAATGTCCCAGATTTTTTACAACTGTCCGTTTGCAAAAGGTTCAATGCTTCGGGCGAGAAGCCATTCACGATTGTACGAGCCGCTGGCGACATTGAATAAGCCAACATCTCACAGAACGTGTAACATTTCCGGGGAGGAGGAGGTGGAGGAGAAGGGGGAGAGGAAGGGGGAGAGGGAGGGGGAGGGGGAGGGGGAGGTGAATAGTAGCTGGACTGGTGACTCGTATTATGGCGAGGTGAATGACAATGTGGACTATATGCATCTGGTATGTAATTATCGCACGCAGGGGAATAACTAGAGTGCAAATTCTTGGTAGTGGGCGTTCTATACCAAGTGGCGTTCCTATATCGATAAGCGTAGTCGTCGTACACTGGTGACTGGGATTGTATATTAGGCTGGTGTCTTTTAGGATCCCAGCCTGAATAATGGTTCGAATACTCATTAGCACGCCATGTATCCGTTCTTTCGACTTTCCTATTAAAAGGTTTCACAGAATTTGTTGATGTTGATGGAATGTCCATATCACAGAGTAGTATATCCACTTCATCTCTAATCGGTGGAGGTGGCGGCGGCGAAGTATATCGATGTTGGGTAGAATTGTCATCGCAGGAATTCAATGAGATGAGCACGTCATCAACGAATGAAGAAAAAACTCCTCTTTGTGGTTCTATGTAAATTTAACAGTTCGTTTACTCATCATATCTAATAAACAAACGCTTAAAGACGTGCAGACTCTGTGGCAAACGCGTCTTTGTAGTAATATTTCCAGTAATTGCATCGCAACTCACCCTTTCCCTTGGATTGGCTTTCTTCAGTAATAGGCATGTTTAAAGTCTCTAATGCTGACGGCTTTAATTCCACAATTAATTATTCTACGACTGTGTCACGACTCTTATTGTGGTTCGTAGCTGTAGGATTAGATAGAGAGGAGTGTTGGAGGAGTATTGGAGGAGTAAAGAGATAAATCGTCCCAGATGGACGTGAGAGAGAATGTGAATGGGGATTCCAAGTTAAGCGTTTGTGCACTGTCCTCCCTGTGTGTAACTGATGGTATATTACTATTATTGGATATATTGCATCACGTGCTTAACTTGCTTAACCATTTTGATTCCCGATTGAGTTACTACATTCCAGATTCTTAGATATACATCGATATACCGTATATAACAATCAAAGGATGTCGTTGTTGCAGGCTTTCGTCATACTTATTCACTTGGACCTGGCTAATAGGATTGCAACACACATTGTTCTTTCACACGCTCCACAATCGGTTGTTGATTACGTATAGCAAAACTGCTACTGATGATGATGTGTTGCCACAAACTTGACAGTGTCATTGTGTTAGAAACCAAATAGAATTGAAACAGACTTTGTTCCTAAACGCAACGGTCAATTCCCACCAATAACTTTCGAGCGGACCCATTCTTTGCTTGCAAAAATTATCTTTTCTATTGATTAGTCTTTTAAGTTTGTATTTTATCCTAAACTCGGATAAAGATCAAACATGTACGCCGCAAATAATTAATTATCGAACCAAATACTGTCTTGATCTGCACACGAGAATAATAATAGTCATATTTTAATTGGTTTATCACCGTATGCAGAATAACAAGCCTCTTCAAGACATGAAGTTCATTACGCGCGCAATTTACATGCTTCTGACTATAACAATAATAATAATAACAACGAGAATTTGAGTTTACCAATAATGTTACACAGAATGCATCTGTGTTACTAAACAAATAATCGTTACGCCAATTAAAAAAGATTGATAGATCTTTGTTATCATCGAATTTTTCAATCCGCCGGCACAAATTTACATTATTGGCATTACATACCAGATCAGAAACGTACAAGCAACAATGACATTTTGACGGAGAATGTCTGATTGTTCCAATAGCTAGTTTTTGTAAGCTTTATTATTGTAGAGATTTGGTTATTGCCATTTCTCTTGTTTACGATGAAGATTTCGTTCAGTCCCTTGTTCTTTGCCATGAATAGATTGACCGTATCTAAAAATGTCCGCCATGTGAGCATGATGAGCGATAGTCGAATAGGAAATGCTTTTGCTACTGCACGCCGCAACAGAAAGTCTCGCCCTGAACGTCGACGTTCTAATCGCATGGCAAGGTTACGCTCTCCAATTGATGAAAAGGTAAACACTAGATATCTCGAAGGAGAGCTACATCCATACGTTATTAAATTAAAGGCTGCTATTTACAGTGGTCCAGGGAAGCATGCGGATGTCCTATGGAATTTATATCAAAATATTAAGAGCGTTGAAGGATTGCTTCAAAAGACTAACGTTGGACACTTGGATACGCTGGCAAAAATACTTGAGCGCGTTAGCAAAAAGAAAGCAATATGTTTATTGGAAGACCTGCTTGACTCGGACGTTCGACTGATGCAATCAAGCTATTCGTTGTTAATTCAATTATACTGCGAGGAGAATGATTATGAGAAGGCTATTCACGTTTCAGAGCTGCTAAAAAAGAGAGACTACATTCCATCAGACAAAGATTATAATGTCTTGATAAGATTGCTTGCAACTAATGGTGACATCCAGGGTGCGGTGAACCATTTAATCGAAATGCGAACAAGAGGCCGACGTGCGGACATTTATGCATATGGAGCGTTGATAAATAATCTTCTCTCGCAGAAACTCTACAGAGAGACTGCTCAACTGTGTTTGAGTATTATTAACGAGGGGTTGATGTCTAATCAATTATCATTAACAAACAGTTTTACTAACAAGTTGGCTAATTTTGATGCACCATATTCGCGTGTTGTAGAAAATGTGTCCAGTTTCTTAATATGGATTTATCTCGAGGAATCCAGAGTGGATTTGGCAACCAAAGTCTATTTCACTCACTTGTCTGGATCTTCGTCACCAGTGGTTCATGCATTGTTGCAAAGTCTGGTTGATGCATGTCTGAACGTGTCAGATATCAATAGAGCTTTGGCCTTGCTCGAACACGCCACAGAGGATAAAACCATGTCATTATATGCTGATGCACTATCTCGATGCATCAAAGAGGGATGGGCAACAGAGGCCGAGAAAATTTTTGAACGTGCAGATAAGCGGGGTGTGTTGTTTTCAAAAAAACTCTTGGGTCAATATACTGCCTTATTTTCCAGGTTAAGGCGACCCGCCGACGCATTACGAGTATACAATATCGCCAAGTCTCAAGGCGTTTATGGAGAATTTAAGCCTTACGTGTTCAACGCCTTAGCCAAGTGCTTGGTAAGAGACCGGTTGACAGTAGACGCGCGTCAAGTACTAGCAGACATGGAAGCGATAGGCCTTGAGCCATCTCTCACTACTTTTCATATATATTTTATGATAGCCACAGAAGAGCTAAATGTCGAGGAATGTAGAAATACTTTAAAAAGACTGTATGCCGCTAATTTACAACCAAACCATTTGACACTAAGACATCTTCTTAATTACTGGGTCCAGCAAGGAGACAAGGAGAAAATCAAAGAGATATATCGATATATTTGCGAGCATGGGCACGAGATAGGTGTGGTTGATTATAATATCAGAATGAAGTCGTTCTCCATAGACGATGTACAGACACTTTTCAAAGAGATGCAGGATGCGGGAATACAACCAAGTGATGTCACATGTCGCACCTTATTACAAATGAGCCTAGAGGCAGGTTATCTTAAAAGCGCATGGCAAATCTACGAATTACTTTCTGATGGTGGAATGCATTCCAGAACTCTTGCTATAATGACATCACACATGATTAATACAAAAGGAATTAGGGAAGCTTGCAACTTTTTCTTCGATCAATGTAAAAAATATAACACTACTCCAACTATATCCGAGTTTAATATGTTATTAGATGGCGCATATAAAGCGAAAAACGCTAATCTCATGAGAAAAGTGTATAAAAAAATGACTAATTACGGACTACGATTGCAAAATCCATCCTTGTTCGCTGGTCTAATTTATCTGAAAGCCATTAATGGCCACTTTAGTGAAGCAAAGAAATTCCTTAGAGAGATGCAAAAGAGAGAAATGAAAGAATTAGTAAAGGGGTACACTGCTTTGATTGGTGGATATGTTGTTCAGAGAGATTACAAGAAAGCCGAGTGGCTGTTTCGATCAATGCAAGTAGAGTCTGGAATCAAGCCTGATGTGGGAGCTTATGCGTGGATGATTGGTATGCACATGAGGCAGAAAAGGCCCGAGAAAGCTCTTGAACATTACCGTGCGATGCTAAAAGATGGATACACGGTAGATGACTTGGAGCCATTTAAGAAACGCGTATATTTTGACAGGCTAAAGTTACTTGTGGAGGATAATGACTTGACCAAGTACGGAAATTTAGAAAATAATTGAAGACGGAACATACCATAAAAACATTCTTCTGTTTGCAATTACTGTATCTTTTGATACAACACTTATTTCTTGTTCAACTGCTTTTTGATACAATTCAACTGCTTTTTGTTCATATTTTTCTACTCCCGACACAGTAGTAATTGAAATTACATTTAATGGCAATGGAATTGCCAAAGCTTATTAATGCTTTTATGATCAGTATTAATTATGTTAGTCACGACTGGGTTAGGCATTCTTATTTCGAGGGATGATTTACTGCGGAGACAATTTGACTGTACTGTTGCTTAAAATAACAGTTTTCCTGTTTTCTTGGGGATTCCGGATCGCCTGCCAAGCAGTATAGCTGCCGTCATATCCTCATTTGTGATTTCACGGGCGACGCAATTTCTGTAAAGTCTGATCTGTCTTGGTATCCCCTCTTAAATTTTTGGAATTCTGGAAGTGCTGTGACTTGTCTGCTAAAGAATTAATGGACTTTTACATAACTGGCAATTCAAGGCTGAATCGGGGTTCAGTGAACTTGGGTCGTGATATGCTATCTCGGAATAACTCTATGGATTTACAGGTATTTACTTAATATTAACTCTACGTATTATTGTGGATTTTGTGTTCGAGCTGCTGTGACTTGACCGTCACCTTTTTTCAATTTGGTCTCCAGATGGCAATCCAAAAAGTATGCCTCGTTAAACCGAAAGCCGTAACTAAAACATGCGCAAATGAGGTAGTATGCTTTACTGTCACTTTGTCGCCACGATCGACTCAAATGTTCACTTGTAATGGAAATTCATGTAATTATTAAATGTCCCACAATCCAAGCGCGCATATCAGATGCAAGTAAACTTTATTAAATTTATATTAGGTTTCTACTTTATTCTTAATCAAATGACTAAAACTGTATTCATTTAGTCAATGACTTTAGTAATTTTGCCAATAGCAATTGTTTTACCTGTAAACGGAAACAATATACAAACATTGAGAATTTGCATTATATTTCAATTACACCAAATATTGTTGAATGAACTAACCTTCATCACGCAAAGTAAACCGCCCCAATTGAGGGTAATCATCAAACGCTTCTATACAAATAGGCCCGGATGTCTCAAGTCGTGCAATTACTTTCTGTCCCTTTTTAATAAATTGAGGGGGACGCTTGGATTTTCGTCCAGTCTTCTTATCGATTAGATGCAACAGCGCCTAAAGAAATAATGAATAGAGTTGTATTATATAGAGAGAACAACGAGAGATACAACACGACCTTACAATTCAAAAGATTTCTTACAGCAACGGAGATTTCTTCTACCAATGCATGTACGTGCAAGACGGCACCGTATCCTGCGCATATAATATTCTTATGTTCAAGAATTGCTAATTGGGCTTCAAATGTAGTTGCCACGTGGATAGAGTTGTTCTTATCGCATATTACAAATCCCGTCGAAACATCCTATACATAAAAATACAATAAACATACTACATAACACGTGATAATAATCATAGCTCATTTTATGAAAACCAAACCTCTTCCTCAATGCCCCGTAATCGCAATCGAACGTTATCTCCACAAATGGCATGCGGTATTTCGTCTTCAATTTCATTATAAACAGCCGCAACTTCAACAGCACGCTATCAATTTGTAGCCAATAAGATACTATCGAAATCTCAATCAAGTTGAACGCGTAAGTGATATTTACCCTGTTAGGCATTACTAAGACAGTCTGCCCCTTTTTCACTTTCCCAGACTCAATTTTCCCGACAACAATAGTTCCCATATCTTTATACTTTTCCGTGATCGGCATCATCAGTGGTGCATCGATCTTTCTGTCTAGTGCCTGCATATTGTCTAAATGCTCCAACAGTGAAGGACCGCTAATACAGAAATACAAGCCCACTGTCAACAACGGTGAGACTCATAAGCTACAGCTTATTGAAATCAAGTCATTTTTATCACCTAATATTTGCCTCTTGCGAAGTTTGTTATTTGCATCGCTGTTACGGCAAAGAGAAGGATAAATTAAGCTGATTATAAATAAAATTAAGATGGTTACCTGTACCAAGGGCACACGCCTTCAGCCGAACGTTCTTTGAGATTGGCACCAGTGAAACCAGATACAGGCATAAATGTAATATCTGAGGTCCGAAAACGACACGACAACAAGAACGTTGTTATTGAGACTGAGTTACGGTACACTGCTATAAATAAGTTATTGCCGTCAGATTCTATTACCTGTTGCAAGGTTATATCCGGTCCCCCTCAAAAAGGGCGTAAGTTTAGAGACACATTCGTCGTATCTTTGATAGCAAAATATTTTATAAATAAAATTATATGTACAATATTCAATAAATTCTAACTTGTTATTCCAGATTGTTATTACCTCTCTTTAGACCAATTAACGGTAGGGTCGTCCATCTTGTTTATTGCTACAATTAGCTTGTTGACGCCAGACGTCCTTCCTAAAATAGCATGCTCGCGCGTTTGACCGCCTCTTTCAAAGCCCGTTTCAAATTCGCCCCTACGAGCAGAGATAACCTTGTATACAAATATCAAAGTGAGCATAAGACAAATCTGGTCATGATACATTGGAACTACAGTTCTTTGCAAAATATTACCAATACGCCCACATCCGCTTGTGATGCTCCACCGATCATATTTGGGACAAAGTTTTTATGTCCAGGTGCATCAAGAATGGTATATTTTCGTTTTTCCGTTTCGAAATAAGCACGACCACATTCTACGGTTTTTCCCTATAATTTCCATTAATTTTGTTAGAGCTGATATTGACCAATTAGTAAATCTGTTGGGTTTTATCCCCCAAAAAATCCAATACTACGAACGCAAGCATAACCTAACAAACCTTTGCACGTTCTTCTTTATTGGTATCAAGGGCCCATGATAAATACCATGATTCACGACCCTGTTCCTTTGCTTCTTTTTCATACTTTTCCATCGTTCTTTGGTCAACCATGCCAGTAAGATACCTAGACAATATCAATTGTAAGATATTCACTCAAAGAAGTAGTGATTATATTCAAACAATGACTACATCTAATCAAAAGTTTCAAAACCCTTTGCCATTAATGACTTACAATAGATTACCACCCATGGTTGACTTTCCAGCGTCTAAAATAAATAATGCAAGATTTTAATCACTATGTAAGCAATCAAAAAATTCAAACATTCCCAATCACGCTGCCCTCTCCACCTACGAACCTACATGTCCGATAAACACTATGTTGAGATGTTCCTTGCCGAACATTTCTTCTAAAATTTCAGCATCAACCTCTTCTTCCTCCTCAACCTTTACTGCCTCCGCAGCTGCCGCAGTCTCTACTTTCTCTTCTTTTTTATCATCTTTCTTTGGTTTCGTGGGTGTAGGGGCACGATTGGGCGACGCTGATTCTGATCTCATGCTTTCTGACTGTTTCGCGGGTTCCGCTACAAAAATGAAAAATAAACGATAAGGTTATTAATATCGATTAAAGCTGGTTTCGAGCGAATCTCGGCTGCAGTCTTAATTGATCGTTTGCGCGCCTTTTTCTTTGACCAAAATATTGTTCCCAGGTTAATCAGCCAAGTAGTAAACTGACGAAAATACGATAGTAGAATACATTACAAATTGCACGAACCATTCTGTAACCAACTCGGTACAAATTCCTTCGCATGTACATTAGGCTTGAACTCTTTTGCATGCACATTCAAGGTCGCTTTTGACATTTTCTGCGCCAAGATCGCTTCATGATCAGCTTCCTCTTCCCAGTTTTCCTTTACTAGTGCGATATTGTTTCCCTCGTCACTCATTTCGCTCGTATATAATGTTTATGGCTGCGAGTGATTATGCAGTCGAGCCGTGCACGGACTTATTTCGGTATTAATGTAAAATGAGGAAAAAAAAATTTTTTTTTTTCCCTTTTTCCTTTTTTTTAAGATATTAATATACGCATTTTTGCGGATAATAATTGACATTACGTCACTAAAGAAACCGGAATTCAATTCCCAAATTTGTAGTGCATTCACATGAGACTGTGAACTACATATAGAATGTCAACCAGATGCAAAAACTCTTTCTCTTTGATCAAACACAATAGAAGTTGATATGCCTAATAAAACACGAGCCGGGTCTTCTCGAACAAAAAAGCAGTCTGGTAAGAACGAGACCAACACCAAATTGCACATTTGTTAACATAACGTCATCATGCATAATTAATATTCTTTGTCTTTAGGAGTTAAAGACGTCATTGATGCGTACTTATTCTTATACAACGCGGCGTCATTCGTAGCCTGGGGCTGCGTCTTTTACCTAGCCCTCATATCATTGTTGAATTCTGAAGGAGATTTTACAGTAGTACACAACGATGTGAGAGAAGTACTGGCTTATGTTCAAACAGGGGCGATTCTAGAGGTAATGATTGGAATGGAAGAGGGATGGGTTTACTATAACTATTTAGAGAACTAACTTTACTCGTGACAACGCAATGAGCGAAGGTTATTCACGTGGTTCTCGGTAAGTTGTAGAAACCGAATTAAAGTGATTGAATTGAGAATGAGAATGCCGAGTTTTATTAATATGCGATCTGATATGCGCGATAGGTTTGGTGAAAACTCCACTCACTACTACAGTGATTCAAGTAACTTCTCGCCTTTATCTTGTATGGGGAATACTTGCGCCCTTCCCTGAGGTCAGTTGACTGATTGTATTGCTTTAATCAACTACATTCCAATTATTTAAATTTTCTTCATCTTTCTTGTAGGTGCGGGGTCACTGGGCACTGACTACGATGACCATTGCATGGAGCGTGACTGAAATAATCCGATACTTGTATTATGGCCTCAATATTGCCAAAAAACAGCCCGCATGGTTGCTGTGGTGTAGATATACTTTCTTCTTTGTGTTGTACCCTTTAGGAGCAGGAAGTGAAGCTATTCTCGAGTATGTGTCACTTCCGTATTCCATCGAGTTCGATAAGTACAATATTTATTATTATGTCCGGATTGGCGTTTTGCTGTCTTATCCGCCAGGTAACTGAGAGAGACAATTGTCAAAGTTTTACTTTGTTGAGTTTGTGATGTTGACACGTATATTCGATAATAGGTTTTTACATGATGTATACTCATATGATATATCAGAGAAAGAAATACTTGAGTAAACGGAAGACTCATTAAATTGCAATACATTTTTCTTGACGATATTGTATTTTGCAGTTTTGGTAAACAATATCGATAACAAATATCTTTATTCAACATTAAAGTAATATGATTTAAAATTATACGCGTTTGTGATATCATTGTCTGGTTAACCAACATGCTCCCCAGAAGACTTGGTACACATACAACAAGATATAGCTTTCGCTATTCAATGTAATGAGCATGCATTGAATATGAAACATGAGCGTTGACTTTTGTACTTCGTCCACTCGAGTTGATTGAACCTTAATTTAGTGTAAACGTCCATGTATAAAATCAGCTTTCAAACAAATTCTTCTATTTAATATTAATTGAAGCCATCGATGAAACACAGATCGGTAATATTATCTAAAGAGCCTCGGTTTCGTAGATACATTCGCGAAAGAAAGCCATGATTCTCTTCATAAGATTTCGAAATAATGCTTTTTAACATACCGGATACATTTCACTCGAATAAAGTATACAATAATGCTTAAATCAACAAGCTCTGACCCCAAGCCGTATTTCGCTGCTACGTGTCTGTTGGGTATGGTAATAGTTTACGAATCACGCATCTTCCATGTCATTCTTTTTTATTGGTCTTTCTACTTCATTAACATCAAACGACTGTCTGGCCCGCTTGATATCCTCGCTCATGTACAGCAATTCCTCCACGCGAGCAAGTTTTTTTGTATCATGACGAAGGATAAACTTGAAATCATCCACCTTTACTTTTACCTTATTATCAGCAGATTGCGCCGCTTTCAGACACTAAAGAAAAAGAAGCAAACTCAACAAAAACGTACGATTTGCGCGATAGCCGAGTAAACCGCACATAGTTTTTAAGATTGCGAGACTTACCATATCTGTAATATAGTCAATAACCATCTCTTCCAGGACATTTACAGTGTCAGGCGCAGGATTAACTACATCCCCGAAGCCATACATCAACAACCTTACTATAACGTGGACGGCTTGTTAAAGGTTTAATACATCACCCATACAAGTTCGATCAGAGGGAAATCGCAACTAACAGTCTTTGGCGAAGAGGCCCTTCTTTTCTTTCGGCGGACGTCCTCTTCTTACTTCCATCGGTCTACAGTCTGGAGACTAACAGCAGTGGTTACAAGAAACGTGTGATGCGCAGAACTATTCCCTGTGTTCACGTGTACACAGTAAATTTGTTATTATTATACTTCGCCTCAAAACACAATTTTCTCGTTCACTACGAGAGCGTGTCCTTTTTCTCGGCATGGCCTTAGGAAGCGATTCTACACATACGTTTTTGTTGCCGCCATATGTCCAACCTCAAATAAGTACTCAGATAACAGACTCTGAATGGGATAGCGCGTTAAAACTTTGGACCGTGTCTCTGTCTCTTCTGCTCAAATCAGACGACGAGCAATTCGCCATTCAATTATGTGAAAATGCCTCTTTGAAGAAATTTCTCGAGACCTTTCTTCAAATACGCGCCAAGATTCACGAGACCACTAGTGATTCGATGCCTCAGCAAGTAACAGAGCTAGAGAAGAAAGTCTTGGCAGTACTATTACGATCCGTTGAGCGCAGTATCATGTATGAATCCATAACTCTTGCGGAAAGTCTCTACAACACGAAACTGTTTTCCGTTCCATTCCTGTTAGATTTTGTAATAATATATGCTAAATCTAATCGTGGCTATTCGAGACAGTTTGTCGAGAATGTGATTGACATTATACCTGCGTTGCCACATGATTTTAAGGAATATTCGAACGTTATAATTGATCATGTTATGTCTGTACAACAAGCTTGTGAAAAAGTATCATCACTGGTAGTAGACCTGAATGATAACGCTGAAGTATTGATGGCAGCCTTAGAAGAGATGCGTGGTTACATCTTCTTGATGATGGATATAGCAATAACGATGGATTGTCTGTTTACAGCATCAGACACTGTTACCAAGTTATTTATTAATAGATCTCATGTTAACGAAGACGAAGATTTTATATCCGTTATTAGGAATCTATATGATGCAACATTGCCCATAGTTTTGGGTTTAATACAGGGGCCTAATGCAGTAGTTGAGATCACAAGAGATGTCAATATATTGAAGCAAGCCTTAGCTTCATGTATTTATCGTTTACTGTATGAGTGTTTCTTCGTCCCGTTAGGATTTACGACTGGCGAAGTCGATACGATTACATCGACGTTGGGTAACGGGAATCAATACAGTGATGATGACAATGCTAATGTGATAGTCAATAGCCTCAATGATATTCTCTTCTCGTTTATTGAACGTTCAGAGTCGTTTAAATCTGTTCAGACATTTGTGGATGCACCTCTTCTCCTGGATATCGAGATGGAATTTAATTTGAGTCAGAAGCTTACAAGAATAAAAAACGATATTCTTCATGGATATCCTTTTGATAAAACGCGCAATGTTCGTTGATTTATAATATATCTATAACTATATAATAATATTCTTAATTTGTCACACGCATGATGAACGCATAGAATATGCGATAATGTCATTGGAATCCATGAGAGATATGGTTCAGGGTATACCTTTAAGACGTAAAAGAGCGGAGAAATTCAGGCGACTATCTACGCGACCAGCAGATGATGTCGCAAACGAAAAATATGCTAATAGCATCGCTTCAGTCGATAATAATAAGGTTGATAAAATCTTTATTGGATCATTAACTATCAATCACTATTGTTAGTTAAGTGCTAGTATTACTAACAAATAGTTTCTAACACTAGCTAGCATACTTTTTTGCATTCTCTCAATTGACTAGCACGACGTTGTCGAAGAGGATGTTAGACGCATATCTCTCATATTTCAAGTGCAAGATGTATTTCCCGATTTTGGAGAAGGATTCATTGATGCTTGTCTTGGTGCGTTCGGCGACGATGTTGAGACGGTAATTCATCGAATTTTAGAAGGTTCGTTGCCCGAAGAACTTGATAAACTAGATCGATTAATGCCACGGTAGGGATTATTGTATATACATTCTAGCGAATCTATTCCGCTATATATCTTCTCATATTTAACATTATGTTATAGACAGCCACGAGTATCATCGCCTTCCATGCCCGAGAAAAGTCCACTTTCCAATCGAAGGAATATCTTTGAGAATGATGAATTTGACGTTAACAAAGGAAAGAAAGAGTATGCACTATCCATTATCCGTTCAAGTGATCATTGAATAAGATCGTACTTTACGACTCTGAATATGCCAACTCTTTCAATTTGATTTCTAGTTCTCACATTTTTCTTATTGCATTAGTCGTGGCACTGCTGAAACATTGTTGGACGATAAGTCATTTGTCGATACATATAAGAATGCCATAATTGAAGCAGCCTACAATGATTATGAGGATGAATACGACGACACTTACGATACTAGTGCAATACATGTACAAGGCGTTGAATTACACATGCTAGATGACTTGGATGAAGAAGGGCCCAATGCGTTAGCCGAATCGCAATCCAAAGAATATGTAAGAATTGTCGCACGATTTGTGGTGTTTTATCGTATATTCCTAAGACAATCTATTATAATTACCACAGGTCGATCCTGCCGTTGTGCATAGCGCTGAATTGATTAAGGCATATAAAGAGAATAAATCAGTCTTTGAGAGAACGTCTGCTGCTAGAAAGACAGGCAAGAGAATGCAGTTAAAGAAGATTACTCAGATGACCGACGAACAAATAGAGGGGTGGTTTACCATGTTCCAGAGAAATGTATGCAATTCGAAGTTTATAGAGTAACCGTTACAATTGTTCGATCATGACTGAGACGGTCTAATGTACTGATCCGTTTTTTCTATATTTGCGTGTGCTTCCTTTATTAGCCGAGAAGGGACAAACTACTTGACAAATATGAGTGGCACGGCGAACAGAGCGAAATCTCTTCCGCCACTTCTGATGAAGAAGGCTCATCCACTTTTGCTGGCCCGAGTATTAGGGGAAATTATAGAGGCAGAGACGTAAGAAGAGGCAAGTCACGATCCGATAGTCACCAGCATCAGCGAAAAACGGTTGAAAAGGGAAAATCTTCTCCTAGCGACTCTGGGACGGATAAACAACAGACCCAGCCAGCATCTCGTGGATCTAGAGGAAACAAAAGCCGGTCAGGCCATCATGATCGTAAGAATGCACGTGCAAAAAAGATGAGCAGAGCGTTTGGACCTACACAAGGATAAGAATGATTCCAAGTACAAAAGGGGTAAAGTTATTGTTGAACTAAAATGGAAATTTTGTCACAGAAAATGTTAGACATCGTATAATATAGTAATTCAACATACACTCAATGACAAAGTCTGTCTCACATAAAAGTTTATACCAAATAAATTATTGCCAGTTCTGATCAAATTGAAAACGATCCCATTATTTCATATATCATTTGAAAGCATCCAATGTTTCAAAGTCGACACCCGTCACGTTAAACCCATAAAAAACCGATTCTATTACAGTATTATATATAGTTCGACGTGTAATCGACATACTAGTCATGGGACATGATTTTGTGTAAATCTAAACACTACAGTTTAAATAGCATCAACAATAAGTCAAATCAATTGCTTGTAATAAACTCAAATACATTCAATAATTCTGTGAAACTTTATTCTCAGCACTATGCTATTATTACTATTGTATGCACACTTCTGTTTTAAACCACTCATCTATCACAATTGATTCTTTAAACGTTCTTTAATTCTTCTATCTGCAGTTGAAAGCTCAAACATAAATTCATCAAGCAATTTCCCAACCAAGTAAAGGTGACACTTTTTGCTGTATCCTTCTGTTACATTGAAAGGCCAATTATGCAGTTGAAATGTGGGTCCGAGTGTTCATAATCTGTTAAACGGTCAAGTTTCGTTGTGTCTTAGAATGTTATCCCAACGGATATCACGGTGCACAACACGTTTACAAATAACAGTGACAGAACAATAAACAGTTACACAAATGATAACATGCCTTGCCTATGAAGTTCATTTAAACCACTTAGTACTGATCTTATTGCAATATGCAATTGATTCTCATTACTAGGCCGTTGATGATGATATACAGGGATAAGCACGGGGAGTTCGGTAATTTTCTGCTAAATTTAGCACTTGAATAAAGTACTCCTGATCCCTACTGAACTTTTCTCTTTTTTGAGTTTTGTATTCTTGGACCTTCTTTGTTAAAGTCAATATAACTAAGACACATGATATATTAGTTATCTACAAACAAAAGCAGACTTAAGATTCTTACCAATAATTTTCAAAATCCTGCATTTCTTTTAAGACACTATCTTCTGATAATAATATATATGTATTATTATTTCTAGAAATTTCTGATCTGGTTGGCCAGTGATATTACTTGGAACAGGTTGAGTGAAGAGACAAGAACCTGCTTCATGTCAGTACAGTTCATTGAAACTCAAATACAGGAATTCTCATCTTACCATATATTCTCTTATGTGTGTTCAAGTCATAAGTCAGTGAAATTTCCAACTTCCCATTAATATTAATACATCAGGCCAAGAATACTTTATGGTTGTACCAGATGGGTCTGCAACATTGTGATCAATCTTCAATGAAAATGGTAACCCCCTAATTACAGGGGAGCTGCCATTATCCTTTGACTTAATGGCTATGATAACTTCTTGGACAGTAAAGGGCTTTGCAAGTTGCTCTTTGAATTTTTCAGAGATGGATGGAATATATTGTAAGAGGGTAGAGTCATCAGGGGTGGGGGAGAAATCCCATAGTAATAGTTGTTTGTAGAAGGCTGTTGCATGGTTAAGGATATGTGTGATGTCAGATGAGGTATTAGTATGGTTATTGTTTAAGGATGGTGATGGAGGGGAGGGGGGGCAAGGGGAGAGAAGTTTGATAGAGGGGCAGATGAGCGTGTTTCAGTAATGAGGAGAGTGGATTTGTTAGAAGTCGAGATGGCTATGGGGTTACTGGGGGTTACAGGCATACTGGGGATTGTGGGTGGAATGGTGTTGGGGATTTGGAGTGAGGTGATAGATGCCTTTTGTTGTTTGTATTTGAAGTGTTGGTAAAAGTATTTAGAACTAGTCTCCCCTTCTTCATACCATTGAACCCTTGATTGTATGGCATAAGCTTTGGAGGCTGTTTCTTCTAAAGCCTTCAGTTTTCTGGACAGATTAGCTATGGTGTATGTATTGGGGGAGGGAAGAGATTGTAATTTTTTGATGCAGTTAGTAAGATTGATAATGCCATCCCTGCATTTCTTAGCTTGCACTTTTCCTATTTCTCTGCAGGTTATCTGAATTTGAGATTTAAAATTGTCCCAAGTACAAGTAAGGATTGAGAGGGTGGGTGAAGTTGTAGTTGTTTGAATATTTTGTTCAAGTTTGTTGTATGTAGCTGGGTTGGTAAGCATGGCTGTGTTCATTTGCCAGATGTTTGATTTTTGTTTTGTTTAGGCCTGGAGAATTAGTGCTCTGTAATCTGAGTTGCTTCCCATGTGTTTTGTTATTGTTGAGTGAGTTGATGTACAGTGTGTAACAAAAGTTTTTTGGAATTTTTCTTTTCTAATATAAAAAGTATGATAGAATTAGATAAAAGTTTATAAATATATTAATATGTATTTTTATACAAGGAACAAATTTACTTACGGCAATTCAATGAGTTGTATTATTAAAATGTTGTCTAATTTCAAAAATTCAAAACTCAAAAGATTTTGTTATTACTTGTATAAAGCAAAAAAAAAAACTTATTTTTACATAAAGATTTTTCAAATGTGTTCCTCATGTTGTTACAAACGAGTTTACTTAAAGTTACTTAATTAAATACCTTAATAAAATTTTTTATAAAAAATGTTTTTGTTGTTTTTTTACCTATAATTACTTTTTCGATATTTTTTTTCCAAGATTAATTTATAAATTAAGAAAGATTTTAATAAAATAATCTATTAACTGTCCTTAAGTAAACTTGTTCTCTATATTATACAAAATATAATTATAAATTCTGGACAATTTGGCTTTTTTTTTTTTTCATCACACAATAGACTAAAATATAATTCAAAAAACTTTTGTTACGCACTGTATTTCAAACGTTATTATTAGCGCATCGGATGCTCTAAGATATGCAAAGAGATTAAAGGCTTATATTCAACAACAAAGCGAAATTGAACCTTCCTAAACAAGTTAACTAGTTTAGAAAAAAACTTAGCAGTGCAAGAAATAAACTCAGAAAAACAAACGAAGATTGATTGATTTTTTAATCCTTGTAATGACGCTTAATTTTTATAATACAGCAGTTGTTTATCCAATAAAATTGATTTTTGTATAACGACAATTGGTTGAACTTGCTTTGTGACACTTTTGATATAAGTTGGAACCGAGCGTGTCGTTATATCGAGATCCACTTGTAGTCTATTTATATTTGAGTGGTTAGAGAGTTGCAATGCTGTAGTTAAATTGGAGTCATAAATGTATCAACGCTGTTAAAGCATAGGATGTGATTACACTATCTACCGTGCTAAATTCTGGAGGGTATAATATCACTTACCTTTTTACTATGGTTGAGTCTTTTTGGGCGAGTAGTGTAGAAGACATACTGCTGTTATAACGAACGGATACGAATTGAGAAAATTACGGACGCAGATTTATAATACACGGATATAACGAATGAGACGGCGTAGACACTTTATTCATTATATCCAGGTTTCATGTACAGTGGTGTGCAAAAAATAACAATTCTTTAAATTGCTCTAATTTTACAATGTGCAAACCAATTAAAACATATCATATAACATTTTAAGGCTTGAAAGCAGTAGATTTTATTAATGTAAAATTAACATGACATTTTTCACTGCCTTTTACAATAATTTCCCAGTGTTGTTTCGTTAAACATATTAAACTAATTAGAAGGCTACCGAAATATTATTCCATTCTTCGACCATAAACCTTTCCAATTCACTAAAATTTTTGGAATTTCCAGTTTCATTAAGTTTTATGGGATTCCAGTATACAGTCTTAAGTGGAATCCTTGTCTGTGAGTATATTTCAGAAGCATTTCATGTTTTTGCTTTAGAAATGAAATGCTATTGCTTAGATGTAACCATTTTGTAGTAGAATAACTCCGAGTTAACAAGTAATTAAACTCATAATTACGTAAAATAAATAACACTAACTACAAGCTTTTGTTTTTATTTTACATGATATAAATAGGTCCAAATTGGGGAAGGTACCTATACACAAACTATAGAGAATGTTGTAAATTGTCATTTTTTCTTGCACACTACTGTATATATTAATTAAATCTACCTAATTATGGCAACACACATTTGTTATATACAATTTTTGTTGAGTATTTATTATGGCTTTATATTTATTGTAAACGTAATTCAAGATTGTTCAGATAATAATATTGAGCCACTGTTTTTTATTTACCAATATTTTAGCAAAAGAAGGGTTGTTTAGTTTTTTTTGACATGGGTCTTTTTTTTTCCGCTCCAGTTAATGCGACCTTATGGTAAAAGAATTGATAGATTGAGCATTATTCAATAAAATAAAAAAAGTTCGAAGTATAGATGTCGTAAACAGTGTTACGACTTTATTTCCAAGCTACCTGGTAGGGTTAGTTTTAACATAATACAAAGGTGAAAAGTAAGTACCATTACTATAGTAGTATTAAGCTAAGATAGAGTAGATAAATATAGATAATGTATTCCTCCGTAATTTCCGCTGTCAGTACTGCGACAAACGCACGAGCTGCGGAATTGTTGACAGATGCAGAAATGTCAAGAAATTTGGGACAGAATCATTAAATTAATTATTTCCCTGATACACAGTCAGCCTCGATAAGTCGGTCAAGGATATCTGCTCTCCGATGACCGACTTATCAAGAATCACGTGTCTATGTATAATTTGCATTTAATAATTGTTATGTTTGTTTTAAATCGTGAAATAACTCTGCAAACTAGCTTGTCCTTTAGAGAATCGATTTGCTTTTTTCTTACTTGACGTTGCAAATCTTTAATTTACATTCAGGTCATTGAATTGCTGTACATAATTCAATAAATTCTGGATACTTTCTAATGCTATTTTTATTTGAAACCGATGGACATTATCTTCTTTCGGTCTCAATTGTTTCTTGAACTACTGCATCAATAATTTCGTTATCATCAATTACTGCACCTGCTTCTAACCTTGAAACCTGTTCTTTTTTTAAAAAAACTTCCAACAGTGTTGTAATTCTTGGTTTCATAGCGGATTTAATATAAATTAATTTCATATTTATACAGTACATTTTTTTATATAGATAGGCTTACAGTGTGTTACAAAATTATTCGGAATTTTTACACCTAACATAAACACATCCTAGCGCGTTATGCACGCATGCAATCTACTACTAAAATTCAACGTATTTAGCCGTGCAATTATCACAACTTTTGAGATAAGTGCGTGTGCAATGCCTTCTTCAAAAAAAGAAGCACAATGTCCAACTTTATTATAGTTGTGGAACAACGGCATTTGGAATGCCAAACTGTAAAGAAAAGAATACATCACGTTTAGCCATCTGAAAGAAAGTCTTGTAGATTGATCGCAAACAAATTCATGCACAAGCTGGTATCCCTCTATGACAATATCAAAAAACTAAAGAGATAATGACCTCAGGCATACTTGCTAGATTGCCAAAGTCTACCTGCATGAAAATGTTTCAGAGATGCTAGAATAGCCGTCCAACGGCCCGAGCTTAAATAAACGTGTGGGCATTGTAAAAGAAATGTAGAGAAGAGAATGCCCCGAATTTATAAAGGAGAAGTGGCAGAACATTTCCGACAGTTTGTAATAAATCTTGTAAACTCAAAGTCAGAGTGTAAACGAGAAAAACGGAGAAAGGATTAATTATTAATAAAATCTGTGGAGTTTCAACTTTCGAACAAGCTATTTTTGGGTTGCAACACACTCTATATATTGTTATAATGACAACTTCAAGTAAAAGTTTATCTCGACCAAGTTTACATTCCGATACCATATTTATTAATACAGAGTTAAAATGCAACTGAATTTAGTCCATGAATTTATACATGAGCCACAGCTATGCTACTAATACTAAATCAAAGCTTGCCAACTAGCAATTTTTAGCTCAGATAGCAAAGTGTTCACTTTATCTGGTATTGCCCCATTTATATGCTTGTAAATGACAGCCTTTTATGCCATTAACACGCTTTTCTATTTATATTAAAAATCATCGCCAATGTTAACTTTTATGTGAACATTTCATTGAAAGCTAAGCTACGAATGGCAAGACGGCAAGTAAGATTTAATCTATTCTCTCTCAGATAATCTTGACCATTGTAACTTTCACGTTCTTATTTTCTGTATTCCAATAATGACAAGACGCTTAGCCGATTGAGCAGCATTACTGTATCAACATTCAATTTAGTTAGACGAGATACACAAAGTTGATTTTAAGACCAAGTTTAATACTTTGTAGGAAGTACACCTTTAGCGTTCAATCGTAGGTGTGACAATAAAAGAACGCAAAACCTCAATAATTTGCAGGAATGTACGTTTTTGCGGTGACCTACAAAGTTTGAATTTGCAATATTATTTGCATACTCGTGTTTGAATGCTATACGGACGTAGTGCCGTTGCAAGTTACAAATATTTAGTTTAGTGGTTAAAACAGTCCATGAAATTTTCTACGTTACCGAAGAACAAGTTTTCACTGAGAAAGCCGTTTTGTGAGAGTGCATTCTCTAGAGTAACGGCGAAAGGTATTTGCAGATTATATAGGGGCAACTTTTAAAGTTTAGATAGTGTTTATATTTTAAAAATAATCTTAAAAATAGCCCAAATATTAATGAGAATATATTAATATTTACAAATCATATATGCACATTTTTATGATTTCTAATCTGATTATTTGCTATCTTTCGCTTATTTCCCTCCCCCCTAGTTCCACTGATAGTTATTCATTGTATTTGTGGATGAGTATTTGTTGAACTATGTAAAACATAATGGGTAATTCTGTTCTCTTTCGAGAGGGGAGTACATGGCGCCAAATCACAAATACAGATACGCCCATCTCGATTGTTGCGTTTCCCAATGAAGAACCGAATACGTTTATTCCATGCATGTCATGTGATGATAATAATAATAATGCAAACGGTGTATACCGATTGATCAACAAATGACAAAGATAGAAATAACACAAGGGGGTGGATGTCCTGACTGTCAAGACAATCGCCTCTTATGAATTGTTGTCACACTATCCATCACTTCCCACATATATATATAAATCGTCCGCCCATCATACGATCACTCAGGCTTGCTGGTTTATCCTTAACCGTAAGAAAGCCTCTCGCTCTGCCTTATTACGATATACGTTAACTTGACTACGAAATGGTGAAAACTGTATTTCTCCTTGCTGGGCTGCTCTTCTCGTCAGCCATGGCAGCACCTTCTCTGCCCAAACGTGAAGAGGGTATTCTTGCACCACTGTTTACTCCTTCAGACGCAGAAGTGGTCCCCGAACAGTATATCGTGGTATTCAAAGACGAAACAACTACAGAAAAAATCACTTGTCACCACAATGTCGTCCGAGATATGGTGAACGAAGAGAGAAAGGCAAAGCGAGGGTTTATGGCTAAACTTATATCTGGAATCAGATACACTTATGACATTAAGGATTTCAAAGGCTACGCTGGTAGATTTTCAGATGATGTGCTAAACAAGATCAGAGAGAGTGATGAAGTAGGTATACGTGTATGTCGAGAATGTCGAGTAGAATTGCTACTAAACTAAGTCGCAGTAGTTCGCAGTAATAGTGTAACACTAATTGATTAATTGCGACGATCTTGACTATAAATGTCCGATTGTTATAACCCTAACAAATAGATTATCATTGAATGATCATCATTGCACTTTCATCGCCTAACTCATCAATTTCCCTATATAGGTCGCTTACGTCGAGAGAGATCAGGTTGTCTATTCTCAAGAACTTCAACTCAATGCCCCTTGGGGGCTGGCCCGCATATCTCATCGTAATGCCTTAACGTTTGGTACTTTCAACAAGTATCTATTCGACTCAACTGCTGGCGAAGGTGTTACCGTTTACATAGTCGATACTGGCGTCAACATAAACCATACCGATTTTGGCGGCCGTGCTAAATGGGGTACAACTGTCCCAGATGGTGATGAAGACGTCGATGGTAACGGGCATGGAACTCATGTCGCTGGTACCATTGCTGGAAAACGATATGGTGTTGCCAAGAAGGCTAATGTTGTGGCCATTAAAGTTTTGAGATCAAACGGCTCGGGAACTATGAGTGACGTAATCAAGGGGGTAGAAATGGTTGCTGAATACCATGAAAACGAATCCGACAACGCTCGAAGAAATGGAAAACCGTTCAAGGGTTCAGTTGCTAACATGAGTTTAGGAGGAGGCAGAAGCAGGTCTTTGGATTCTGCTGTCAATGGAGTACGTATTATTATTTGATCAAGCATTGTCAGTCAGATGATATACAGTTTTATACACGATTTCATCATGATTTTGCCCGACTAAATCGCACATTCTGGTACATTGTTAGGCCGTCGACGTTGGAGTTAACTTTGTCGTAGCTGCAGGCAACGATAACCGTGATGCTTGTGACTCATCGCCAGCAGCCGCTGAAAATGCAATCACTGTTGGCGCTTCAACTATCGAAGACGAACGTGCTTGGTTCTCCAATTATGGTAGATGTGTCGACGTTTTCGCTCCAGTAAGTAGAAGTTAACCTCTTTCAGAGACAGCAGTTGTATAGCTCGCCTATTTATATTCTATATGCTGCATATCGTTAACCTAATACACTACTAATGATATAGGGAAAGGACATCTTGTCAGCTTGGATTGGTTCCAACACTGCTACGAACACAATCTCTGGCACATCTATGGCATCTCCCCACGTGGCCGGCCTTGCAGCATATTTACTTGGCTTGAAACCAGAATTCACGTCGGACTTTGTTACTTCCCCACCAACTCCAAAGCAAGTTACCGGCTGGATTGTCAAGCACGCTACTTCGGGCGCTCTCGACAAAATTCCTGCAAATACACCCAACCTTCTGGTTTTCAATGAGTTTGATCCTCTAGCATAAAGTTATGGGAATGAGAGAACGTTAGTATATAGAGAATTCTAAGATACGTTTTTTCTTTGTTTTAAGTGTTTTGGATAATAAAAACGTCCCGTTTTGATTGGGTAAAAAAGCATCAAATTGTGAGTTCTTCTCAATGCGAGTGTTATCACATGTTTCCGTTCTGGGGTTTGAATTTAACCGGCTTGATTATCGGCAGGATTGTTGAAGGAAGATGTGTTGATAGTAAATCAATTTGTTGATAGCAATTCTTACTAGCTCATTAGCATACTGGGAATTGGTTGGAAACTTCAGGTCTGATAATTCAATCGACTTGTGTAAATCACACGATGCTAAGTTTTTATGACGAATAGATGTCAAGATAGCATAATAATTACAGCACTCGCAAACTTCGTTTTGGAATATCATTCTTTCTAACCGCTTTTGTTGCATGACGCAAATATATTCAATCTCAATCATGCCTTTTTGCTAGTTAGGTGAAAAGTGTCGCCTTTATTCGTCATTGACCTTTTAATATACACATTACATGCTTTGGACATTTCAACAAAATAATCGGTAAAAATAAGATAAACAAGCCTTACTGTTAAAGGATATAGTTTTGAATACAGCTTATCAACTCCATTCATGTTTCGGTATGATGAGCATGTGTGTGAATTGGCCATCTTGCTGCGAGCCGTTCTGCTCGGCAGATCCGTGAGCTTATTCTCAATTACATCATTAATAAGGAATAATAGTACTAGATATACACTACTATCACATATATATACATCATTTATATGGCAATTAGACAAGAGGCCAGAATACGTCATAGCCCGCCTTGGATCACACGAAAGCTTACTGTAAATACGATCTGAAGCATCGTCTTTAATAATATTATGGTAATCGATTGTTCCAAGAATGTTCCCATATTGAAAACCTAAATACTCTCCTCATTCGTCTACATCTTGCATTAACCCATTTCTCAATGTTTCATATCTCAAAGTTGTTTGTTCTCTAAAGAAAGAGGTGCTTTTCTTCTTATCATTTAATCGGGGTCGACCAATATAGTCAAAACCTTACCACGTGACTTACATGAAACATGGGTGAATCCTGCATAATATTACAAACGTCGGCGATGACAATGTGTGGGCATACTATGAAACAGTAATAAAATAAATTAGCCCATTCCTGGTACCATTCATTCACAAGGTCGGATTACTAAAAAAACACAACAAGCGTGCATAGTTTAATAATACATTCATTTTGGTCAACAGAGAATATTGATCGAACGTAAAAATCACCAGTATGAACAACAGAGATTACTCTTTTGAAGGTCATCATCACTTTTTTTTTTCTTTATTTTTGTTTCTAAAAGAAACGTTTTCTTTCAAGAATCATATGAAGCAACTCCATTCATCTTACAAATTTACAAATCACAATTAGAAGAGACTGAATTGGAAGGAATGAATGATATGAAAAAAAATTTTGATGATTATACAGGAACCATCCTCTGAAACGAAGAGTGATGATAATAAACAATTTACAAGGTAAGCAAAATCACCGAGGGGCTCTCAAAAGGCCACCCTCTCGAATAAAACTAACAGCGTACACTTGATTTGGAAATAAAAGAAGATAACTTTTAACAAAGAGCGAATTCTTCTTAATATTTTTAAAAAAACTGAATACAAGATCGATTTCGAAAGAAAATATGACAGAACTTCAAATCGACTGTGTAAAAGGAACCAAGAACGAGGAAGAATGGGCACCTTCCCTATGTACATTTAAACGTGAAACCGACTCGTTGCACTTATAATAAAAGAAAATGAACATGTGTCCTAGACGCTAATTACTCCGTCTCTTGGAACATCATCGTGAAATACATTTTAAGTACAATAAAACGATGATATTACGACATTCAGACAAGAAGCGCAGAATACATCTACGTCGCTTCTTGATAACTCAAAGCGATCAATGAACCACCGCTTTTAAATAATGTCCGGATTACTTTTTGAAATAAAGAAACTTTTGTGTAATTGAAACCCACCATATTAATTAGTCCCCAGTCTAATATAGTTGATTGGAGATAAAATATTAAAAAAGGGAAGAATTTAAAGGGGAGGGAGAGAAAATGAAAATGTCTATCAAAAGTGTTTACCTCACATCTTCCCAATTCAATAAATTCGCGGAATACTGAAAAGACGAGCAGCGAAACACTAGTAGTCACTTTCAGAAATATGCAGAAAATATAAAAGATAAAGAAACAGAAAGAGAAAAGGGGACCCATACAAGAATGTACAAAAGAAAAGAAAGAGGTATACAAGGGGAAAGGGAGGGGTAAGTGAAATATTGAGTCTAAGAGGGAATTAAATAGAATAATTAAAAAGAAGGGAAAAAAGAGCTTGTAGTTATTTACAAAAGTAACCTTTTCCCATCACAACTAAGAATTCCCATATTAAGAAACATGCACATTCTATATCGCGAAGAAGATTAACAGACCGAGAACCGCCCCACTCCCAAGTGTCCTTTTATTTATAGCGGTAATATTTGGATGATGTCAAATATATTGGTATATAATGGTAAAGGGGGGTAAATGGCACTTTCTAGAAGTAAAGGCGGTTCCACAGTAAAGCAATCTTTTTCGACAACATGAATCCAGACTGTCCCAAAAGAAGAAACAAATAAACAAGTATAAGGACGCGCGAAAAAAACAAACAAGAAACCATGTAGTATGTCTATGCTGATGTTGAGAATATGAATGGTAAAGGGGTGAATCGAAGGGGGAGGTTTAATATAAAGCACACAATAAGGGGAAATAATGGTGGGTTTAATATTAGGGAAGGTTGAATAATAAACCGAAGAGGAGTATTAAAACAAAGGATGTTGAAGAAAAGGGAAACTTGCAACAAAAAATGTACAGGTGCGAATAACAAAGGGGGGAACGAAAAAAAAAGGTTTATATTGAAGTCGAAGATAATATGCAAAGAAAAAAAAGGGGGGTTGAGGATAAGAGAACTATAGAAATATGTGCCAGATCTAAAAGTACAAATTGGGTCACATGAGTAATGAACCCAAAATTAATGAACACGATAGAAGTAATCTCCTCCTTGATCAAGGAATCACTAATGACAATTGATTCCTATTCTACTCAATCAACAAGATACTTGATTGATTACTCATGCCTTAGCTTATCAACTCACTAGATCCAACTCCTTATTCTACAAGACCACCTTTGCATATTCTAATGTCCGGAAATCTTCAACAAACTTCTCAAACTTTCGGAAATCTCCGTCAGTGACATCCCTTGGGCATCGTCGTAGACATGCAATGGACGAGCAGTGGCCATTTTTTGGGGTACATTGTAAGCCATGGTAGCGGATTGTTGGTAAGAAGTGGGAGCGTTATAATTGATGCCTTGTTTTTCTTTGGAGCTAGCGAGCATCATCTTGAGCTGGATGGACTGTTGCTGTCTAATGTAAGCATCATCGTATGTATTGTTGACTGCATGGATATCATCCATTACGAAAAGATCATCATCGTAAGCACGGTCGAGAACAAAGGGGGTCGGAGGAGTGCGCGGAGGAGATGTAAACATTGATGGGGAAGAGTTGATGGTGCTGGTAGCGCTGTTGCTGACAAGTCCATTGCTGGTTCCAATATTACCAACACCAACAAACAAGTTATCCTCCAAAGGTGACCTTTCTTTTCCGAGAGACTTGCTTACAAATGATGGAATCGGCAACGCGCTAGGTGCAGGAGCGTTGTGGAAATCGGGTCCCGCATACAATTGGTGCTTAACAGGAGTGCTCGCTGGACGATTATGTCTGACTGATTTCAAATCTGAGGACGACTTTGAATCGGAGAATTGTTGCACATGTTGCTTAATCTCTATTGCAGTGCTGGACATTCTACGACGAGTATTGTGAGTTGACGGAGGAAAGGCATAAGAAGAAGAGTCGGTGGCTTTTACCGGAGTTACTAAATTTCGTGTATTTTGGTTGAATGGCGGGAGATTAGTAGTAGTAGTACTATTTACATTGGTAGTGAATGTATCTTTGTCTTGCGATTGAGGCGTAGTATTGACGAGAAGACTAAAGACATCGTTGGCGGACTTGACGTCTTTGCGGTGTTGAGAGCGCTTCGTTTTGGCTGGTTGGATATCCGAACGACGACGTTCTTTTGAAGACTGAAGACGGGTCGAATATGGAGGAGGCGTAGTCGGCTTCTCCAATTTAGTTTGACGCTCAACAGTATCCTCGTCGGGACAAGAACGGATTGGATGGGAAGGTTTGGTAAAGTCGGTAATGGACTGAGAACGCTTGAGGATAGTTATTGGTTTTTCGTCATTTGAATCAGATTGGTACCTTCGTCTGCCGTTACTTGATTTGCGCTGTAAATTGGTCTGCTTCCCTGGTCTTGCCTCATCGATGGTTTGGGTATTCTCTACCAAACGATAACGGTTTTGTTCGATGCTTGAATCTCTATCAATGTCAATATCATCACCACGATTGATGCGAGGAATAATAATAGGTGTGGAAGCTGCTGATGGTGAAAGCTCCTTGGGGTGGGAGTGGCGTTTGGATTTTGGTGTAGATTTCGAATTTGTGCGTTTGTGACTGTTAGGCTGTTTAATGCGGAGTTGTTGGTTGTGGTGGTGTTCGAGCCTGCTCTGCACCACAGGAGCAGAGAGTGTTGGTTTTGCTATACTTTTAGACATTTTTTATATTTTAGTGTCCTTTTATAAATGTCTTTAAGCGGGGGATTAGAATAGTCCAGTATTTCGGTTGTTCTTTTGAAAGCCTAGAATAGTGCGATACGGTGTTGGGTATAATATTGCATTAGCATGTCTCTTTGCGTCTGAGAAAAAGCAGAGTATGAGAAAGGCTACGAAAGCAAAAGAGCATGCAGTATGGTATGTAGACTTGTACGAAATTTACAATCTCTCAACAAGAGTTCTACCATACGCTTTATATTCTTTTGTGTGATGACAAGCAATCGAAAATGCCAAGCAATAGTTCTTTTCCTCGCCGTTGCAAATAGAAATTTACCTGGATGAGGAGAGGTTGATAGATGAAACCGTTGTTTGAAAGAGAACAGTTTGAAAGAGTTGGTAGTTTTGAAATTGATACTGATATGAGATATGGGTACTATTATTGAAGTTTGAGTATTTTTTTTTTTTGCTATTTTAGTTTTTTATATACTAGAGTGTGTTTGTGTATTCTCGAGTTGTAGCGGTAATAATGGTGTTCCAGCGTGGAGTATTTGGATGGAGATCTAAATAACCTCTTTCCAGAAGCGCTGTTCAGATGAGTACTGGAGGAGTTTGGTAAGAGAAAAGGGAAGGAAGAAAAGTGAGGTGGGCGGAGGTTGTGTGAAGATATAGGGGAGCGAATACTGTGGATATTGCAGCAGCTTTACCCCTAATGGAAATTGTGTTACGGTAAATACGGAATAGATGTCGTAATTGTGTTTCTGTATAAATATATACGAGATGTATTATTTGCGAATAAATAAATGCATTGTAAATATAACCATTTATATATGGTATGTATTATATTTGAGTCACAATTAACGACCGAGGTTAAGATTCTAACAAATCGGTCGGTGGCTTAACAACAAGCTAACTTAATAACCATGCATGAACAGTGGTGATGATATATTATCTTTGTTTCTATTGGCCTCCAAGCGTCTTGTCATCGGGTTTGCTGCAAGTATTTATTTTATTAACCTTTATTAATTTTGGTGTAAAAGGAGGTGCTGTTTCGGGGAGGCGTAAAAACTCAATGAGATGCGGGCGATATTCGGCGCATCAAAATTGGATATTTCAGCTTGTATCAAATGGCCAATGGAATTAGGTGATGACATCCATCGTACCCTAACCCGGCCCAGGAATAACATAATCATAATCATAACATAACAATAACAATAACAACAAAGTAATTGTGTAGTTGTAGTTGGAAGATGTGGTAGATGGAAAACAAGTCATTATGTAAGACAAGCTAATAAACTGTGATTTGTTATATCGATTCTACTATTACGAATTGGTGCACATTTGTTGTTAACCCACCCCGATGTTATTTCCATATCAGGTGCTTACTTTCCATCATTATTTACAAAAATTCCATATTGTTTGGTATGTGGTGAGTATGTAACGCCTATGTTCAGATAGCATTGTTTGTAGACTAATAACAAATGTCCATTCTCAAACAAAGAATTTATTGTGGCAATAAATTGATGATCATCTCATTCATACATGATATTACTGCCGGTTTGCGATTACCTTTACTTCACATGCCATTACTGCTGTTATACATCATCGCTGATTTCTTGTCTTTTGCGTTTCTCCTTTGCCTATCCATCTCCCTCTCTTCGCTGCAGTATAATAGTCTTAAACATAAACAGACCTGCATTTAGCAGATCATATATGAGTACCAACTCTCTTCTGTGACAACACAGAGAGAATGAATGTCGATTGTATTGATTGTTACGAATGTGGTTTATTTGTCTCTACGTTACCTACGCTACCCACCCTACGTTACCTACGTTACCATTACACATTGCCCACTTGCCCACTTGTCCACTTGCCCACTTGCCCACATTGCCCACATTGTCCACATTGCCCAATACCCCATCATTCGTAACATCTTGTGTTTGTGTAGAGAGATTTAATTTATCACTCGGTATTTCGTTTACACTTGGACGATATAGAACGGGTACTCTCTTATATGAATGGACCACATGCTCATCCCACGCTGCCATTCTCAATTTGGTACAGCCCCCTCTCGCACCCCCACCCCATGAACACAACCAGTGATAATCCAAACCGAATATTTATACATACCAAATATCTGAACTACTAACGCCTTATCAGGTGGTGTGAACCTTCTACATAAATATGAAATTACGTCATCAACTACAATCAATATATTTGGAAGTGCGGGTTATAAATAGATTCCACTCGATTATCACTGTAATACAAGCCATTTGCATACAATATAAAGTGCAAGTATAATAGGATGACAAATCTTTTGCTTGGGTAATGTTTGGCTTGTATTTGCCAAATGGTGAACGCGCACTGAGAATTGCTACAATTCTATCAACCTCGAATTGGCGTAATTACGTATCGAAGTGATGCATTATATCACTCTCATTATGACAAATTGCGATATTCTGTTCCAATATTATGGTGTGGTACTATGTTTATCTGTTGTGTTTTGTGGGGTTAGAATGAGAACACCAAACTTGAGTGGTGCATTCTGAGTAAATTTATCCATATTTGGTGAAATATGTTGTCGATGGATTTGGCTATGGTGGGAATGTATCGATGGCTGAAAGTGTATTTTGTGCGTGCGATTCATATGAGCATAAACGAAAACGAATATAGCAAAGCAAATGGAGAACAAAATAAAGTGCACGAATTAAGTGACCGAATCTTCGATAAAGGGTCTGGGAACGCTGGAAACCTGATGAACAATATTACCTTATATGGTTGTCAAGGTTACCATATCGTCACGCCACTGATTATTCACGTGGCTGGTGGAATCAAATAGCTATTTATTATTAATAGATTACATCATGTTTCATGTCGCGCAAAGCCAAGGGAAAGGGAAAAGGGAAAGAGAAAGGGAAATTAGATTCCGGTCGTCTCCCCCAACCTTGTGAACGCTCAGATGTTCTTTGTTCATAACAGGAGACATTAAAACTGTATTAATTCTGATACGAATATGATTGCTTGTCAGACGATCGATGTCAACAAATGATTATGATGCGAATACCTTTACCCCTCGTTAATGGTTTGAAGAGTCGCAATAATAATAACTTAACTTTAAATAGTGTTGGAAACACATGTACCTGAATGATGATCATAAAGAAATTTGGCTATGACAATTTACAGTGCCTTATACCAAAACGGAAAGGATAGGATTTCTATGTATTAAAATGAAGAAATAATTTGTTTACATCTTTTTAGTGAAATCTAGCTAATTTAAAGGCTCCAAGGTCAAAATGGTATTCAACAATGCATAAGTTTGTTTACTTACTACCTTCAATTATTTGCCCATTAAAGAGAAAAACATCAACGTGCATTATTCAAAAGTGCATTCCCATGCTGGCAACGATTGTCTAGCTTGCAAATGCTTTTGACACTTTCATATGGAGGTTTCGAAGATTCATTTATGGCGAGTTCTGCTTATTTAAAAACTTATTCTTTCTGGTTTTGACTTTGTTATCTAAAAGTTTTGAACATTTCTTCACACAATAAAACACCACCACCAGAAGGAATAAGTTAGCACGTTCAAGTGAAAGGTATATCTTTGGCACATTTATCCTTCCACAAACAACGTTCTCGCGTTGCGCGCAGGGTTGTAATTTTACACATTTTCGGTTGGTGTCCCATTCACATCTGTCGCATATTAGTTCGCGAAGAATACCCCTCCATCTCGTCATAATTCATTTGAAGACTGACGGGGTTTTTTCACTCCAGAGTGTTAGTTACTATTACAGTCGACCCTTACACCTTACATTAGTATTGAAACGCACAGACAAACAGAGATGAGGTGATTAGCAGAGACTATAGAGACATGGGATTATAGACAATTGTTTTTATACAGTTGGTAATTTATAAAAAGCGGAGACTATAGACGGACTTTGACTATAAAAATGACTGTACTATTGTCGATATCAGCGATCGCATTATGTTCCGGTCATAGGCCTGCGAGCTGCTTTGTATTCTTGATCCCAGTGCTAAATAAAAACAAATGCTATCTTATTTGCAAAGCTCATATTTATTCGCCTCAACCAAAGATAATAATTCCTTTAAAGTTAGTCGCAACGATGGTAAAACATTAAAGACTCTGTCAAATAACATATTGCCATCATGTCATACTTCTTGACATGAAGATTGAGTCTATTAACATTTGTTTTGAACATCGACTAAAAATAAGATGGTAACGGAGAAAGCGAGAATCCCGTTCCAAGACTAGTTTGGGTCATACGGTTGGCTGCCTAACCGCTGAAGTGATTGGATAGTTTCGACTGCACTGTGAAGACGATCCGATGCAATCTTCTAAATCCTACTATTACTATGGGATAATTTCGTTAGCAACTGCCACCTCATGCAGTGCGGGTAAAGGGGTGAAACAAATTGAGGTGAAAATGTTGCGGAATTGAGAATCGATCTGGAGGGTAGACGAAGCTTACGAAATAAAAACAAACTAATTATTTCGATACAGCGAAAACTTGTTTGCGTATTTTTAATCTTTGAGCTCTCATTCTTGTAACAGTATATACATCAAGAGAAACAAGTTTGACCGTCGTAGATACATATGCATGTAAATGGCATGAGATAGACCCAATACGGAATCGACATACTTAGACTCGAAACAAATTGGCTGCCCGGATATTGAGGCTAATCATCGGGCCGCATAAACCCGCATCAACCATCATGCTCGTTCTGTTAAATGTAGAAAGCAGACAATCATAAACATCAATCAACACCATCAAAATAAATTCATATGCTTTTTATTCGTTTCAGGGAACCTTGTTTCATCAAGACAATAACACGTCGTTATGACGGCAATTCCTATCGTTTTTTACTAAAGTTTTTGCTCATCATACTGTTTCTCAATAATTATAAAACAATCGAGAAACGACTTACTATTCAATTGCCGCAGACAATGACCGACTAAATCACAAAAAGAGAAGCAAATCGAAATGATT